CCCCTCCTCCCTCTCACCCTGTAGATCTTGTTCCGGACTCTGCAGTACTTCACCTCCTCCACCTTCACGTAGGACAGACACTCCTCGCAGCACCGGTCGCTGTGGCAGACCCCCGGCTGTGAGCACTGCTTCTTGCACACGACCGTGGAATCCTGGAAGAATAACAACAAGAAGGATCAAAGGATGAGATTCATCATTCACAGGATTCATCTTTATTCATCCGGTAACGAGGTTGTGGAGTGAACCTTAGATCAAACAGAACTCGGGGTCTTTATGTTAAGGGTGGAGGAGGAGATCCGGGTGGGTACCTTGCAGGTGCAGGTGGTGCAGTTGTCGTGTATGAAGGACGTGTCGTTCTCGTAAACTTCGCTGTGGAACAGACAGCTTCCTAAAGACAGATCAAACACCTTCCTCTGACCTGACGGAGGAGGAGGAGGAGGAGGAGGAGGAGTCAAAGGTAAGAAGCAGAGACACACAAAACTTATGTTGTGCATTCATAAACATTCTGAATCATGTTTGTTCAGGTTATTTAGCTTGTAAAAGTATTTGCAAGTCAATGTAAAGAGACGAACATGAAGGAATGATGAACAATGTGCTAAATCTTCATTCCACTAATCACAGCAGCAGATAAGTTATTTATAAATGTTACTCACGTAAACGTATGGAAGTATAATCAGGAAAATGTGATTAAAGTATTTAAATGATAAGTACTAAAGCAGAAAAAATGACATATTCTGTCATTAGATTATTAGACTGTTAACTAATTATTATTTTCATTATGGATTCATCTTCTGATTATTAATTGATTGATTGTTTGTAAAAAAATCTTAAAAAAGTGTCACAAACCCATCAGTACAATCAAACAATTACTAAAATAAATGATGAGAATTTACAAAAATATTATTTTTAAAGCTGCAAATCCTCACATTTTTTATGCAATGTTTTGCATGAAAAATGGCAAACAATTAACAAAAAAGTGTCCATTCATTTGTTTTTCTCTTACAGGCTATTTCTATGTTTAGTTTAGTTTGTAAGTAACTGAAGCTGTCAGACGAATGTAGTGAAGTAAAAAGTACAACATGTCCCTCTGAAATGTAGTGGAGTAAAAGCAGCAGGAAAAGAAAAGACTGAAGTAAAAGTACCTCAAATATATACTTAAGTAGTTCACTAGTAACTCTCCACCTCTGGTGAAGGTTCCCACCAATGACGGAGGAAACAGGAAGGAGCTAAAGGCCACCAGGTAAACCTCCTGCAGCTTTAGAGCAGTGGAGGTTTTACATCAACCACAGAGGTCAGAGAGACGGTTTACTGGTCTTTACCGAGACATCTGGGACAACACTGTCCCGGCGGGGTGTGGCTGAGGTGGGCGGGGCAGGACAGGACAGGACACACCTCCCTCATGCAGAGAGTCCGTCCCCCCTGAAACAAACAGCACAACACCATTTCACTGACATGCGTTTCATTGCTCTTCTCTACTAACATGTACCTGCTAATGATCAGTTGTGTGACTGTAGTTCATATTTTGGGAAGCTTGTTTGGCGGCTGACAGAAATAAGAGACTCCACTTGTGTACGTTTCACTTTAAAGTGCAAGCGTTTGTTTATATTAAAACGCCTGCAGCCAGTTCATTTCCTGGTCTTTCTGCTTAATGTGAAACATTACCACCTAAAGATTACAGTTCAACTTTAATTCCTGGTTAAAATGTTGTTTTTAGTGTGCATGTAAATACACTAACAATGTAATAAATAGTGTCGTCAGTTGGTCAGGTTTAATGTGCATGGACTATAACAAAATAACACATTTCTGCACAATAATGTGTATGAAGAATAATTCTGTGTCAGCGAGGTCAAACTGTCACCTCCGCGTGCGTGTTTATTCGTGTTAACAAGCCTGCAGGTCGACCAAACTAGGTGCAAGCACATTAATGCTGTGTTTATGGACGTACATGCAGGGTTTGTTTGTCTAATGGGGGAGGGGGGAGGGGGGGGGGGGGGGGGGGGGGGGAGAGGTGGGGGGGAGTGAGGGGGG